TTTTTTTAAAAGCAAGCAGCTTGGGGAAACTAATGATAATGGCTCATTGAAACAGAATATAGAGTCACTGAAATCAGGATAGTCACATTGTATTGATTTACTGCCTTCCTTCAGACGAGTAACAATAATGGGATATAGCACATTTGACTATAAACAGGGATACAGTTTTGTAAAGGACTTGAGCATTTCTTCTTCCGGTCCCCACAACAGCTCTGTGAGGTGGGAGTTAGGAAACTCCTCTGACAGGTGATCAACTGAGGCTCGGGAAATTTAAGTGTCTCGCCCCAAAACAAACTGTCAGAACTATAAAGTGACTTAACTCCTCTGATACAAGTGTCCATTACCTTCCAGCAGTCTCTTTTTCTGGTTCTCAGAGCTCTCCCAGAACCCAAGCCCTGAGCAGGTTGAGAGAGATGTAAAGAAACACCCATTTATTAGATAGGTGCCAAGCTTAGGGGTTTGCCTTTCATGGTCATTCATGCTGATGATACCCTTACTCTCATGCTTCTGAGCAGGAACGATGCAGGTACTATTACATCAATAGCTGAAGGGACACCCTGTGCACTATCTGCATTTTTAATGATTTGGTTATTTTTGTAGTTGTATTCAGGAAGTCCAAAGTGTATCAAGGAAGCAATTTAAAAGACAATAGAAAGGATTAATAACAGATGGTATTTTCCATTAGCTGAAAAGAATGATTATGAGTTAAGGGGAATTTACTTAGGATCCTATAAAAGCAAACCCATCAACCCATCTTTCTTTCTTCTGTAACACAGAGAAGGTACTTGAAAGAATCACATAGCCTCCAGGAACCCTAGGCTTGTAAACACACAGAGCCACAGAACTGGCATACTACCATCATCTTTGCTGTCACATAAAAGATGCTTCTAGGATTTTTTTTTTTTAATGTTCCACTGCTCTTCACAAAGAACAGACTTTAAAGTATAGTCCAGATGGTGATAGATGAACATAATATTTCTTTGTCCTTTCCCAAGACAGGGTAATTGTGCATCATGCATGACAGTCGGCAGTCATTTTTAATATTTAAATGATGTCTGAGTTGGAGATTAAAATTTATAAAGAGCAGTGAGATCCCAGAGAAAAGAATGGGAGGCCACTTTTTCTTTCAAATGCTATAAAAACAGATGGCCCTCCCATTCCTATAAAAGCAAACCCATCAACCCACTTATGCATTAAAACATTTACGATTCTTTGTGATACTGGAAGCCTACAGAAAGAACCCACTCCCCTCCCCTGACACACACACACTGTTATTTTGCATTCACTGATCATGAAGATAATTTGAGAGAACAAAATTAAATTTTGTTTTTAAAAACATAGAATGCAAGCTTAGGATCCAGCATGTTGAATAAACAGTGAAATTAAATAATGATGGAGAAACACAGTAACAATCTTAAATACAGGGAAATAATGATAACTACCACGATCATCATTACCCTGAAACATTCTCAAACACCGTACAAAGATGATCTAATTATTTCTGTGTACATCTCTCATGGGAAAGGTGCTATTATTCCCATCTTGAAGACAAATAGAATGTCTACTCTCAATTTATAAGTGGTATTTTTTCTGAGAAGCTTTGTTTTCTTGTTCATCTTCAAAATAAGAGATTTAGACACCCCAAAGTAATTTTATAGAGTATCAAAGGCATCATAGTTCATGTTACTGTGAATGATTAAAATGTTTTCCAAAACATTTTAATCATATGCCCTGTGAAATTATAAAATGTTCACAAATATAGAAATTAGAAAGGATCTGATCCCAAATAAATATAACTAGAAAATCTAGTGCTTTTTCTCAACTTTTCTGGGTATATGCACCCTTCCCAGACCTGGTTGGAATGCAGAGGGGGTAAGAGGAGAGGCTGGGAATGGAAATGTATTCATATGGCATTCTTCCTTCCTCCTTCAAATAAGCCCTGAAAATTGCATCTCTCACATGGATTTCTACCTGGAGCTAAAGTGTAGGTAGAAAGAGAAGTTGGAAGAAAAGTGAAAAGGAAAAAAGAAGAAATGCATACAGAAACAAACAAACAAAAAGAGTAGGCAACAGAAGCACTGAGTGGCTGGCTGTTCCTCCATTTCCACGTCATGACACAGGAGGCTTCCGAAGGGCCGCTGGAGTTTGCTAGGGCTGCTGTAATAAATACCACAGGCTGGGTGGTTTGAACAGCAGAAGTTTCTTTTCTGGCAGTTCTGGGAGCTGAAAATCTGAGATCGAGGTGTTGGCAGGTTTGGTTTCTCCCGAGGCCAGTCTCCTTGGCTTGTAAATGTCTGCTTTCTCACTAGACGCTCACGTGGTCTTTCCGCTGTGCACGCACATCCCTGGTGTCTCTCTGCACATCACGATTTCCTCTTACTATAAGGACACCAGTCATATTGGATTAGAACTCACCCTAATGGCTCCATTTTCACTTAATGAGCTTTTTAAACACCCTATTTCCAAATACAGTCCCATTCTGAGGTGCTGGCAGTTAGAGCTTTAACATATAAATTTTGGGGAGAGACAATGCAGCCCATACTAGGTATTTTTATTAAAAGCTATCTTTGTGCTTCCGGGCAAAGTTGATAGAACATGTAATAACCCTACTGCATGAACAGCGGAGGGAAGGGTCAGCAATGCATTTTCACTCACAAACATTTTGATGAGCTGACCTGACTCAAGCTCCTCACTTGGGAGTTCTCCAAAGGCAATTCCACTCATCTGCAAGGGCTTATCCTAGCAGTTTATCTAAAGCTTGAAAGATGAGGCTGCTTTCTTCAGACCCCCAAAGCATAATCATATAATAATTCCAACCATGTGCTCACAGAAGAGCAGGCCATTGCCTCTTCTCTTTTCCTGTAAAATGACAGAAGACAAATCCAGACATTCCTCTTTATGTGTTTTATGAGAAGTGTTCTCCCCTCAAATCTCTTGTGCTTTCAGAGGGTTTTCTCAATTGTGATCTGCACCCCATGGCTTCCCCACTGCAGTGTGTCTTACAAAGAACACACACGTATGCTCCATGTTGACCATCTCAGGTCACAGGGTTCAGCTGGAAAACTGCAGCCCCACTGCCAGCTGCTCTAGTGGGACCAAGTAGAGCGCTGATGACAAGGTTGAAGTGGGTGAACAAAGACTTCGAGGACATGTTCTTCTTTCCAAAATGGCCACATAACACATGTATCTGCCACCACTTCAAGAAAAGTTGACATTCAATATCCTAATTTTGAAACATGTCAATGGGCATTATTTTCACATTATAAGTGAAATCTCCATTTTGGAATACTATTATGGATTTCCTGGTTCCTTTGTGCATTTTTTTTTTTTCTGAGACTGAATCTTGCTCTGTTGCCAGGCTAGAGTGCAGTGGTGTGATCTTGGCTCACTGCAACCTCCGACTCCCTGCTTCAAGTGACTCTCCTGCCTCAGCCTCCCTAGTAACTGGGATTACAGGCAAGTGCCACCATGCCCAGCTAATTGTTGTATTTTTAGTAGAGACGGGATTTCACCATGTTGGCCAGGATGGTCTCGATCTCCTGACCTTGTGATCTACCGACCTCAGTCTCCCAAAGTGCTGGGATTACAGGTGTGGGCTACTGCACCGGCCACATTTCTTTGTACACTGATGGTATGACTTAATTGGCAAAATTGTGTATGTATGTGTGTGTGTGTGTATATATATATATGCACACATAGGTTTCAGTGAGTATATATATACCATGGTACATAGTATGTGTGTATACATGTATATATACACTCACACAAGCCATACATATATATATGCTATGTACCATATATAGTATAGATATACTATATATACTAAATACACTGTATGTATAATGTAATTGCATAGTAATAAAAAGTCAATAGAAATTTCTGCCTGCATTCCTTCCTTTAACATGAAATTAACCACCTCAGTTCAGGTGCAGGAGATGGTACCAAATACCAGGGACACACAGATGCATGAATTCCTGCCCTTGAAGTGTTCTTCAGTCAACTGGAAAAGAGAGGAACATGAACATGTACAATTCAGAAAAGCAGTTCTCAAACTTGAATATGCATCAATGTCACATGGAGGGCTTGTTCAAGCCCAGCTTGCTGTCCACCCCCTCCCCAGTTTCTGATTCAGCGGGGCTGAGAATTTGAATTTATAACAAGTTCTCTGTGCCACCTGCTCAGGAAGCACACTCTGAGAACAGCTGGTCCAGAGTTACCAGTGCTGGGAGGCTCCTCTGAGCAGGAGTTCCCAGCATGGGTTTGAGGGGCAGTCAGAGAGTACATCACAGAGGAAGTGAGTCTTAAAGGATGGGTGAGGAAGGATTAGGATGGAGCAATTAGATATGCCGAACACATTTAGTTCTAAAGGATGAAAGTAGGAGAAAGTGTATCTGGTTTGGAAAAATGCAAATAATTTCATTTCCTGGCATATAATTATTTGGCAAGTAATTCCAAGGCTTTAGTTTGAAATAGTTGCAGGAGATGATGCTGGAGAAATGGGCAAGGCTCAGAGCCATGATTAACAGCCCTGTTTGAACATTATACTGTAGGTGATTATATAACCCAGAGTTGGACTTCAAGTTGGAAGAAAAGAACCCTGGTAGAACTCCATCTACACTTATCTTTCTTCTAAAGAGGGTTCTTTCTCAGCCCAACACAGGGCTTTCCAGCCTTTTAGAAGAAATCATTTTCATTTCTCTGAAGTGACAAGTCTCACTGGATGTGAAAGTAGAAAGAGTGTGTTGATTGCATGGAAGCAGAACTGGGTAGGTGTTAAGTTTTTGCCATTGACCAATGAGCACAGGTAAGAGGCATTTCAGTGTCTTAATAATTAATTAGTTAATTATGATTAACTCTTGGAAAACCCTAAACTTCACCCACCTCTCATGGCCTCCTGTCACATAGAATGGAGGACTAACAGGCCTAGACAGGAAAGATTGAGAGAGGAAAAGCTGGTAGCCTGGGTTGTGATGAAATGTGCTTTTTTCTCTTCTCTCTAGGGGAAGATGATGATGATGATGAATGTGGGGAAGAAAAGCTGCCCTCCTGTTTTGATTATGTGATGCACTTTCTGACTGTGTTCTGGAAGGTCCTCTTTGCCTTCGTTCCTCCTACTGAATACTGGAATGGCTGGGCGTGTTTCATTGTCTCCATCCTCATGATTGGCCTACTGACAGCTTTCATTGGAGACCTGGCCTCACACTTTGGCTGCACCATTGGCCTGAAAGATTCTGTGACTGCAGTTGTGTTCGTCGCACTTGGGACATCAGTGCCAGGTAGAAATTACAGTCATGTATAATTCCCCCAATAGCAGAAGTTCATTTACCTTCTTTGATGCTTTCTTTTGTACAATGTCAAAGGCTGTGATAACAAACCAAGACCTATGAAGGATAAGAGTCCAGAGGTATAAATAATGTCACTATCAGAACGTTGTCATGGCCCTTCTCAAAGTTCAAAAGCCGGTCAGTGTCACTGCAATGACAGGAAAGCATTCTCAGGTCCCCAGAGGGTCTCCATGGCTCTCCAAGAGAGAAGATCAGTTTGATGGATAGATTTTCAGATCAGCTTCCCATTACAATGAGAACATTTGAATGGTCTCTGTGAGACTGTATTCATTTAGGTAATGGGGAAAACATACTTACTGGAGACCTGATAAAATATTCTCTTGACCCAAATATGAGTGAGAGGAAAGGGAAGTAGACATGGATCAAGACAGTTGACAAAAGTGTACAGGCCCAATGTGTATTTCATGAACATCCCTCCATGCATTTCTTACAAGCTGATTTTTTTCTTCCAACCTACAACGATAGTTTATTATGTTTATTCAGATTTCCGAGTAAGGCATCATCCCCTCAAACAACATTGACAGCAATAATTCTCAAACTTTGGTGGGCATCAGAATTACCTGAGAGCTTGTTAAAAAATATAAATGCCTGAGAACCATCACCAACCTATGGAAGATCTAGGAGTGACAGGGCCCAGGAATGTGGGTTGTAAAGCTCACAAGTGACTTGGTACACGCCAGAGCGTCTTGTAACTGAAACTCTGGAGCTACTCTCCAGCACTAAGTAGCAGCCTGACAGATAAATAGACTTTACTTTCAGCAAGAATATTCACATTCTTAACCAAATACGAGGCCTAGGACAAGCATTAAAGTAGGCTTGGAAAAAGTCAGGACTAGAAACAAATACAACTGTGCTAGTGATGCTATTCATTGTCCACTTTCTGTATTTCCCACAGTCCTGATGCAGGCACTATGATTTCTACTAAAATTTGCCACAGTTTGCAAGCCTGACTTTTGGGTTGAGTCTGGAAACAACTACAGTTTAAATCATTTATTTATTTCTTTCTACTCGAATTCATCAATTATTCTTTTTCTTTATAAATAGATCAATAGATCTATCTATCTATCTATCCTTAGATAAATAGATTCTTCTATTTATCATCTCAGTGACTGTGGCCAAGTTAGTTAACTTCTCTGAGCCTCAGTTTCCTCATTTGCAAAATAGGGATAATCATACTTAACTTGCAGAATTATGGTCAAGGTTAGAGAAAATATCTACAAATTATGCATCCAGTAATGTACCTGAGACACAGAAAAAATTTAATGTGTTTCTGGTGATTATTGTTTATATTGAATAATTCAGGATGATCTGAACAGTATAAATCTGGACGCTTCATTCACTACCCTGATAACCATGGATGAAGTGTTCAGGTTGATACTGGTCAGCCATAAGGCATGGTGTTGTACAACTGACTGAATGACTGAAGATTCTGATGAAAGCCTCCACGTGCTTCTGGCATCCAACGGAGGGAACGGAGGATCTAGGAGACCTAGAGGATTCTCTTACTTTCACCTTAGCAAGGAGGGCTGTTTGAAGTCATTCAGTTGACTATTGATCCTTAGAGGAGAGCAGACTCCCTCTCAATCCCAACTATGATCCAGCAGTTCCATCTTGGTTCTTTACTTTGCATTGTTTCCCAGAATTACCAGAAATTTACCAAGCAGAAGGAAAAACTTAAAATATTCTTAAGGTGTTTTGATTAAAGACTATATATAAAACCAAAGGAATAAATATTGATATTGTGGTTTTCCACTGTTTTTATCTGAGCTAATTATAGGGAAAGATGGAGTCTACTTTTCCTATGGTTTAAGTCACTGCATCACATGGTGTCCAAGTTAGCACACACTGTTGGCCATGGGTTTAGTCCCTGAGGAGAATATGTTCACATTATGATCATAAGGCAAAAATTAGGTCTCTTATAACAATTGTCCCAAATCTGCAATTGGTCCAACCAAATGCATGTCTTGTCTTTGAAAGTATAAAAAAAATGCTTTTTCTATCTGAAATCCTTGCTCCTGAAAATGTTTTTTTATTTCCCAGTACCTCTTATCCAATACCCTCAAGCTGGCTCCTTTTTCTAGATGCCAGTTTTCCAAAAGGCCTCTGTGTATCTCTTATTTTAATAAACTCTTGAAAAGTGTGGCAGCCTTATGAGTAAAATTTATTTTTTCTGTAACATGAATTATGGATTACAGCAAACCTTAATGTTTAGAGGAGTCACTTGTTCTGCCACTTAAAACTCAGAACCCAGGGGGAGACATCAAGAGGTATGAAAATCTGTTTGGGGAAAACACAACAGAAATATTTGTTGTTGAAAGTTTCCCTAAACTGCCATAAATGCTTTCCATCAGGACACAGATTTCTTTGCTCTGTTATTGAGAGAATTCCATAATTTGCTGCAATATTGCAATATTAACTGTGCAGCAAGCTCCCCAAAGAATACATTCAGAGGTAATCTCAGATAATCATATCTACATAAACAGACATTTTTTCCAAAAACTGTAAAAATTGAACAGGCTGTCGGATTAACATTATATTTTGGCCTGTATTTTTCAACCCTGCTGATTCAGAGCAATGTTTTATTATATATCCTGACTCCTAAGAAAAATGATGCTATTGTTTCTAGATGACAAAGCCTAGTTGCTACAGGCAGAAGAATAAAGAAACTAATTCCTTTCACTCATAGCCTACTATTTAGTCAGCAGCAGTCCTGGGGCCCAGCGTTCTCTCTAGGCTGATGTCTTGGCACTTTTCCTAAAGCAGAAGGGCCCCTTCCTAATGTCTGATATTCTGCTGCTTCTTTCTAGGTTAGACTTTTGGATTCTTAGATTCTGATGGCCAGATGGACATTGAAAACTTTCCCGTTCGTCCTCCTGCCTCAAGGCAGGATTTAATATCTATATATCTCATTAAAAGTGTTTTTAACCATGCTATTCAAAATGCATGGGGAAAAGCTTACAAATTTTCAAGTGAGACAAAGCTTCTTCCTTGTGCCGGCTGGTAGCAAATGTTCAATCTCCTGGCAGATAAGGATTCCCAAAGGTCTTCACTCACCCTCAATGTTAGACATTTCTGCAAGAGCTTGAAGACCCTTGCCTGTGAGTAAAGAAAGAACCTCCTCTTCTGAATCACCATTTTTCGGACATAGCTATCTGAGGAAGAGAGTTTCCAAATAGCCTCTTCCATCCTTTAACTGTTGGAGTAAGCCCGAGGCTCATCTCCAGCCTTCTCTTCTTTGTCTATGTTCACTTCTTGTATATCAGTCTCCATGGTGTCAATGACATCTATATGCCAATGACTGCCAAATGTCTATCTCCAGCCTCAACTTTCCCCAATATAGGGAAGGCAGCTGGTATATGAATCCCCTAAGGACTGGATTCATATACCAGCTGCCTTCCCTATATTGATGCTAGACATATAATTTGGAGCTCAGAATTACTATATCTAAAACAGAACTGTTTCTACTGCCCAATGGCCTTATTCTTTAACCAAACCTGTTCTTTCCAGATCTTGCCTTTCTTAGGAGAACAAGTCATCATCCATCCAGGTATCCTTAATTCCTTTTTCCTCTTCTCCATGGTCAAAGGACCTGCAGACCTTTCCTTTATTTTACTTTTTAATTTTATTTATATATTTTTTGAGACAGAGCCTTGCTCTGTCACCCAGTCTGGAGTGCAGTGGTGTGATCTCGGCTTACTGCCACTTCTGCCTCCCGGGTTCAAGCAATTCTCCTGTCTCAGCCTCCTGAGTAGCTGGGACTACAGGCACATGCCACCATGCCAGGCTAATTTTTGTATTTTTAGTAGATAAAGGGCTTAACCATACTGGTCAGGCTGGTCTCAAACTCCTGACCTTAGGTGATCCACTTATCTCAGCCTTTCAAAGTGCTGAGATTATAGGCGTGAACCACCGCACCCAGCTGACCTTTCCTTTAAAGTGTGTTTTGATCGAGCCCACCTAGCTCTCTCCCTACCACCACCATCCTAGTCTACACAGCCATTCTGTGTAGATCTCTGCAGTGCCTTCTATCTGTCTCCCTGCTTCTGGTAGAGATCATTTTAAGCAGTAAATCAGGCCACACTACTTACTGTTCACAATCTTCCAGTAGCTTCTTATTTAACTTAGGGTAAACTCTGAAAAGAATTATTCTGTCTTACAAAGGCCAACGTGATTTGGCCCCTGCCCATCTTTGCACTCTCTTCTCCTCCTTGCCTGCTGTTCTTTGGGCCTACTGGCCTTTTTTCCTATCCATATACCAAGCCCATTCCTTTCTCTGAATTGCACTAGCTGTCTCATATCCCCTTCATTTACACAAGACTGGCTCTTTGTCTTCAATTACATCTTGTCTTAAATGATACCTTTAAAGAGGCCTTTTATAATCACCAAATGTGTAGTCAACCAGTTTTCTGTATTATCTCACTCTATTTTCTGTATTTATTTGTGAATGTTATTATTGTCGAACTCTGTCCACTAAAATTTAAGCTTCATGGGAAGAAAAGCCTTGTTGTTTTTTCCCCTAGCCCCTAGAGTGGTGCCTAGCTAACACAGAAGTGATGCATTTGTCTGGCTGTATGTGGGTTGTATGTATAAATGTGCGAGTAAGTCATTTCCACATTAGTGTGAGTTGGTTCAGTCAGATTGCATTTTTCCTAATATCTTCTAGAGACAGCTCATAATTGAAGTTACTGAGGGAAGTAAATAGATTTTAGTGTCACTTATTCTTGAAGAATAGGACATAAAAGGTTATTGTAGTAAGAATGGACAAAAGTAAACTGAAGAGCACTGAGGACTTCAGAACAGAAATATTTTCCTCTTACAAACTTTTGGCTATGTGGGAACTGTGATGAGAAGCAAGATAAATTTTGGTCTTTTCTTCATTTTTTTCTCTCCTATGATCCCTTCTTCCAAGACCCAGACCTCAAGCCAATACT